TTTGAGCTGGCTACATAACCGCTCTCTTAACAATGGGATAAAGCGAACCCAGATGTAAGGTCTCGTGAAATTAGTTTTTAGACCTAGAAAACCTTTAGGATTCCCACGGTTATAAAATAAAAAAACCTAGAGATTCGTTGGGCTATTTATAGGTTGAAAATAAAGGTGGAGAAAGTTTTGACTCACTGCCGTCCTCTACTGACCACAGCAAGGAGTGTGACATGCTGACTAAAATTGTGGAATGGCACATTATATATTTCTAATCAAATTTAACTTTTTGACACATAGGATTTATAATGACACGTTTGCGACACATGTTGCCTTACTTCTTTGTTTGGGTACTTCTAGTTGTGGTTGTGGAATATTTTTTTTATGAGCGGGAAAGAAAGAAAAGTTATAGCCTTTTTATCTCATGGGAATATTATGTGTAGTGGCGACATAATGGTGCAAAATGTATTTGTCTATGTTTTGTAACATTTTGGATTTAGGGGATACAACGGACCAATCTTGCTTTCCTGCTTATAAAAGAATATTCCCAAACCAGAGGCTTTAGACTCACAACCCGTTTTAGGAGTGTGCAAGGAGCGCAATTGCATTGCACCCTGCAACGGGCTTCACAATTTTGGTTTACTTTTTTGTAAAAATGTTCTAAATTTTGAATATTTTGTAAAAAAAGCCATAAATTTCTATAACTCTACACAAAAAATTATTAATTTTGATTTTTTTTTGGCACATGGCCCATTATAACAATAAACCGGGCTTGCAATACAAAGCCGTAAATCCTTCTTTTCTTATGGAGAGCAACATGAAATAAAATTGTTATTGTAAAAACTAATTAACAAAAAATTCAAAAAAGCGAAATCATATATTTTTAGAACAATAACTTTGTACGGCTATCAAAATTATCATCGTCAAAAAATTGAGTCAAATCTTGCATATTCGAGATGACATCATTGTAAAGATTCTCTAACCGACCATTGAGAAACAAGTCGTTAGGTTGTCGATGAGTCTTCTCGAGAACAGACAGTCAGTCGATGGTAGATTTGCGGGTTTTCTCATAATGAAAAATATATCAAATTTGAAATAATAAATTAATGAAGGTAAAAAAAATTATAATATCTTCCGGGTGCCAAAAAATTCAAAAAAGCGAAATCATAGATTTTTTAGAACAATAACTTTGTACCGCTATCTAAATTATCATCGTCGAAAAATTGAGTCAAATCTTGTATATTCGAGATTACATCATTGTAGAGATTCTCTAACCGACCATTGAGAAACAAATCGTCAGGTTATCGATGAGTCTTCTTGAGAACTGAGAGTCCGTTGGTAGTGAGTTTGTGGATCTTCTCATAATGAAAAATATATCAAAATTAAAACAATATATTAATGAAGATAAAAAAAAATTATAATATCTTCCGGTCGCCACGCCAACTCTAAATGAAATCAGTCCAGACCAATGTTTAATTATGTGTTATCCGACCTACCGGATCATGCAATCGGCCTGCACGAGTGTAGGCATTGCGTTATCGCCCTTGTTCTCCCATTTGGACTTCAACCGACAATATTCAGATCCTCAGAACAATATTAAAACATTTATCTTTAAATAAAATTTTATAAATAGAACCGGCCGGCCTTCTATGATTCATATGTAAGGATAGAAATCATGTATATAAATCGTTATTTGTGTATAGTGGTTAAAATTGGATCATGTGTGCGGTTAATCATCAGATAGAGAATAAAGCATTTCTCGACCAAAAAAATAATAGAGAATAAAGCATTTAATTTTAGGGAAATTGGACTCTATATTACTCATTAACTTCATATTTAATTATCTAATATCAAATAAAATAAAATTTAGTAACTAATATTTCAATTACCTAAAATTCTAATTTTACCCTTAATATAGTTATGGTAAGTAATCTCA